GGTGTAGGGGTGTCAACGGTGGGTTCACGTGATGGTCGTAGTGGTCGCTCACTTGCTTGCAGGTGAGACTACGCAGGCGTTCATTTGCTGGCACTCACCTCTCACACGTGGCTCCACGTAGCTGAGCTCTACTCAGCGGCCATAGCCCGGGCAACCGTCTCGACCGGCGGGCTAAACCAGGTGAGGGGGCCCTGTGCGCTGTGCCGTGTGTGCTGGATGGAAGGTCGGAAGGAACCTTCCGTCGGCACCGTCGTGACGTGGTTCGTCTCTACACGCCGCTGGACAGCCGGTGACGGGATGGATCTCCACATCGACATCGCCTTGACGCGCCCACCTACGCCGTCGGAGACCGCAGCTTACGGCGAATTCCAGTCGCTCTCCACTACAACCCGAAGTCATGGCCCCATAGTGGAGTCCGGCCGTGCCACAACGGCACATGGCAGCCCTATTCAGGGATGGCACTGTCAGCCCCCACGAGGGGAAAGGCCAAGAAAAGGTGGCCTAAACATTGCTGGGCACCACGCCGTCTTCAGGCTAGCCAGGGCCGCAGACGTCTAAACATGGTCGAAACAATCAAAATCGAAACAACAACAATACCTATAACAACAACAACAACAATACTCGCTCACCTCCTAATCCTACCTCTTCTTTCTCTTCCTCTGCCTATTCTTCTCCTTTGCCATCTTCTTCTCCATCCTTTCCCGTCGCCCCACTTGTTGTCGCCAGACTGGCAGGGTGAGTCCGCTCACTCTGGCAGCCTGGAATGTTCGTTCCCTTTTAGACAATCCGAGGAGCAACCGACCGGAACGGAGGACGGCGCTAGTGGCACGATAATTGGCGCGATACAAGGTGGACATCGCCGCACTCAGCGAGACCCGATTCTCCGAACAAGGCCAACTGGAGGAGGTGGGTGCCGGCTACACCTTCTTCTGGAGTGGTCGACCGAAGGCAGAGCGACGAGACGCGGGCGTCGCCTTCGCCATCCGGAACGACATCGTGGGACGACTGCCCTGTTTGCCACAGAGCATCAACGATCGCCTGATGAGACTCCGTCTGCCTCTCCGGGGTGGAGGCAAATTCGCCACCATCATCAGCGCCTACGCTCCGCCGATGAGCAGCCCCGACGCCGCCGCAAAAGGCAAATTCTACGCGGAACTGCATGCCCTCTTGGCGACAGTGCCGAAGGCGGACATGTTGATTGTCCTCGGTGATTTCAACGCCCGCGTCGGCACAGACCACACAGCCTGGAAAGGAGTGCTGGGTCCCCACGGTCTCCGCGGCTCAAACGACAATGACCTGCTGCTTCTACGCACCTGCGCAGAACACCGCCTCATCCTGACGAACACCTTCTTCTGTCTGCCGGAGCGAGAAGAGGCCACCTGGAGGCACCCTCGGTCGCGCCAGTGGCGCCTGCTGGACTATGTCCTTGTCCGGAGGCGAGATCAGCGGGACGTGCTGGTGACAAAGGCGATCGCGGGCGCTGACGGGTGGACCGACCATCGCCTCGTCATCTCGAAGATGCGTATTCGCCTACAGCCTCGCAGGAGACCACAAGGTAAGCGACCCCTAGGTATGCTGAATGTTGCCTTGTTGTCTTTGACCGCTCACAATCTTCATTTCAGAATTAGCTAGCTCAACGGCTAGACAACCTTCCAATCGCTGCCGCCGCTGACGACGCCGCCGCTGCCGAGAAAACCTCCGTGGAGAACCGCTGGTGTCAACTGCGAGACACGGTCCAGTCGACGGAGCTCGCCGTCCTCGGTCGCGCTCCTCGCCAACACCAGGACTGGTTCGATGACAACGAAGCCGCCATCAGAAATCTGCTAGCTGAGAAGAACCGCCTACACAAAGCCTACATAGACCACCCCACTGACGACAACAGAGCAGCCTTTTACCGCTGTCGCCGCCACCTTCAGCAACGACTGCTCGAGATGCAGGACGCCTGGACTGCTCGCAAAGCTGAGAAGATCCAAGGGTACGCGGACCACAATTAATGGAAGAACATCTTCTCTGCGATCAAAGCTGTCTACGGTCCGCCGACGAAGGGCACTGCTCCTCTCCTCAGCGCCGACGGTAGCACTCTCCTGATTGAGAAGACGCAAATCCTTCAGCGATGGGCCGAGCATTTCCGAGGCGTCCTCAACCGCCCCTCCGTCATCTCCGACGCCGCCATCGCCCGCTTGCCGCAAGTGGAGACCAACGTGGACCTCGACCTCCCGCCTTCTCTCCAGGAAACGATCAGGGCCGTGCAGCAGCTCTCCAGCGGGAAAGAACCCGGATCGGACGCAATCCCTGCTGAGGTTTACAAGCACGGAGGTCCCCAACTGATGGATCACCTGACTGCGCTCTTCCAAGAGATGTGGCGTCAAGGTAAATTCCCGCAAGATTTCAAAGATGCAACCATCGTGCATCTCTACAAGCGCAAAGGGAATCGCCAAGTCTGCGACAATCACCGCGGCACCTCCTTGCTGAGCATCGCCGGGAAGATCTTCGTTCGCATCCTTCTCAACCGCCTCAATAACCATCTGGGACAGGGCCTTCTGCCGGAAAGCCAATGCGGCTTCCGTCGTCATCGTGGGACCACGGATATGATCTTCGCCGCCCGCCAACTTCAGGAGAAGTGTCAGGTGATGCGGACCCACCTGTACTCTACCTTCGTGGACCTGACGAAAGCCTTCGACACGGTAACTCGTGAAGGACTGTTGAAGATCATGCAGAAATTCGGCTATCCGGAGCGATTCACTCAGATGGTGCGTCAGCTGCATGACGGTATGATGGCGCGAGTCACGGACAACGGAGCTGTCTCAGAGGCATTCGCAGTGACCAATGGAGTGAAGCAGGGCTGCGTTCTGGCGCCTACCATCTTCAGTCTTATATTCTCTACCATGCTGATGGACGCCTGATGGATGCCCCGGGATCCGCATCGCCTACAGGACAGACGGTCACCTCCTGAATCAACGGCGGATGCACTTCCAATCGCGCGTATCCACAACCACCGTTCACGAACTCCTCTTCGCCGACGACTGCGTCTTAAACACCACCTCGGAAGAGGAGATGCAACGGAGCACGGACCTATTCTCCGCCGCCTGGGAGAACTTCGGTCTGGTCATTAACACGCAGAAGACGGTGGTGATGCATCAACCGTCACCCAACTCAGCCACAGCCCCCAACTCGCTGCCGCAAATCAGTGTGAACGGAACCAAACTGCAAGTGGGGGAGAACTTACCGTACCTGGGCAGTACTCTCTCCCGCAACACCAAAATCGACGACGAAGTCGCCAACAGGATCTCGAAAGCCAGTCAAGCCTTCGGTCGCCTCCAAAGCACAGTTTGGAATCGCCACGGTCTTCAACTGGGCACGAAGCTAAAGATGTACAAGGACGTCATCCTGCCGACGCTACTGTATGGAGCGGAGACTTGGACGGTGTACACAAAGCAGGCACGCCGTCTGAACCACTTCCACTTCAGTTGTCTTCGCCGCATCCTTAGGCTGAACTGGCAGGATCGCATCCCCGATGTGTGTTGGATGTGTTGGAACGAACGGGAATCCTCAGCATCTACGCCATACTGAGACAAATGCAGCTACGCTGGAGCGGCAACCTGGTGCGCATGGACGACGAGCGACTACCCAAACGACTCTTCTACGGAGACGTCGCGACGGGCTCTCGTCGTCAAGGAGGCCAGATTCGCCGTTACAAGGATACCCTGAAGTCCTCCCTGAAGCGCCTGCAAATCAACCCCACCAACTGGGAGGAGCTCGCACTCGATCGACCGACCTGGAGGAGGACAGTGAAGACAGGCGCTGCGATCTACGAAGCCAACCGCATCGCTGCCGCCAAAGCGAAACGTGAAGCCCGCAAATCACAACTTCGCCCAGTAAGCAACGCCGCCGCACAACCGCCTCCAACGTGTCCATGACTTCACATATTGAGCAAGACTTCCCCTCGCCCCACTAGCGATCCACGCCGCAGCAACGCGGTCGCCTGGTTAACGCGGCCCCACGACCTGACTAGTGGACAAGCACTTGGTGAGAGGGCCGCGGTTCGCGCATGTGTACTCCCAGTGCCCGACACCGCGCCAGACGGACCTGCACTCAGGCCGAAATTCTGCACACGTGCGATGATGGCGGAGCGGCTAGAGCCTACGGGAGGACTTGATTGTGATTGACCCTTCCCCAGGTCACACGAGAGTTCGTTTCCGGTCATTTGGGCAGGAGGTCTGTCGTTGGTAATTGAGTTCGAAGCGCTACTGTCATTACTTTGAAAACAGTCGCCGTCCTCAATATACCGGGAGACCAGTTGATTGTCAACTGTTGCAGTAGCAAGTGGTTCGTACGCGTGACGGTTTTGGGGTGCGTGATAGTCTGTAGTTTCGGCAGTACAGTACCATTCCGCAATTTATCCACGTCAGAATTACATTACCGAAAAAAGCAAGAAAGACTGAAGTGGACGCTTCTGGCTTATTAGCCACCATTCTTGTCCTTTTATGTAATGATATTCTGACTATCTTACACATCGCTGAGCGGCTGCTGGCGGGGCTCGATAGAGCGAGTTCCGTAACACGATCTGTGGGCGCCCCGCTATCAATGCTCATGTCCTTCGTAGTTGCTTCAAGAAGGTCTTGGAAGGTCACCTTGGTCCCGTGATCCTCAAACACGTTATTTCTTCCCTTGGGGTTAGCCAAAACCATGGCCATCTTCCGAGAATACACTCTGATTGCTGCATGCCGATGACAACGTGTACTTAACTTGTCGCTTTTTAAATTCCTCAGAAATTATCTACGAACTTTGAGTGTATCAGTTTATTCAAGGGCTACAAGTTCAGACCGATAATTTTCTGCATGAATATTTGGGCCGAAGCCCATCAGTCACAGCGGATAACCGCGTAATATTAATTAACTGCCGACAGGCAGCTAGTAGTATACATTAGGGCAAGGTGATACCATATTAAAAGCACAGGTACTAGCCAAAAACCCACTGACACACTGACGAGCCGAACCTCTCGTAACTGTGCCATGCAGCGGCAGAATATCGGCGAAACGCGCGTGTATGGGCTTTTGGTTAGTACCTGTGCTGTTAGGATGGTATCAACTTACCCTAAAGTATACTTAAATTCTGTTCGCGGAGTGTCGCTTTGAAAAAAAATCGCGTACAGCACTTGGAACACATGTTGGATTACACTTTAGTGAGTACTGCAGGGTGACAATATCGTATTTTATAGTTTAGGGAAGCGCCTTACGCAGTATTTTAACTGGAACAGAAACTGCCTAGACACTTTTTAATATTAGCAGTGTTTTGTGTGGAGATATTGCCACTATGATTGGAATCATTTTCATACAAGGTGTCCCAGCGTCTGGGAGCCAGGAGTGCGCTTGAGCTATGCTCACAGTCGAGTCCGCCGCGAAGCTCAAAACGCGGTTCTGCTGGGAAATGGTGGCGCGTGCAGTATAGTAAATGCGGTAAAAGGGGCATTACGGATGGGACTGCGGGAAAACAATTAAGGATGTGCGAAAACTATAGAAAAACGTAGTAAATACGCTTGTTTTTAGTGAACACTAAAATCTCGGCGTAAGCAGCGCGCAATACAAAACATCATTGCAGGGACCACTTGAACCAATATCTACGTAGGATAAGGGTAATTGGCCCGTCAAGGTCATCGAAACTGAACCGCCCAATGGTATTACCGACAGAAACAAGGGGGAGACTGGATTGGCCATTTCTGACTTATTGGCCATCCTCAACCAGTCATACCCAACCCCGGAGTGTGGAACACCTGCGGGACGATCTCGCGACCTGTTAGATCCAAAGAAACGATCAGCAAGTGCTCCCCTACCACTGTATATTTCCGATCACAACTGGCAAGACAACAAGCCTGTGGCTCAGTAGTTAGGGGCGTTGGACTTGTAACTAACAGGTCGCGAGTTCGCGCCTCGGGTGTTCCACACTTCGGAGTTGGGTATGACTGGCTGTCGACGGCCAATAAGCCAGAAATGGCCATTCCAGTCTCCATTGTCTCCTGAGGACCTGGTTTGTGCACTTGCGTCACGTCCTGGGTCGGAAACTTCCATGATGAACGGTATATCCGCACGCCTGCTGTTGTCTGACCGACGTCAGTGGATGCGTTCCCGGTGGCGTTGATCATGAGTCACGGCTTGGCCCGTCATTTGATTGGCTGGTTGCGGGACTGAATATGCACCTGCTCATGCTGTGACGTGTTTCTCTGGCTTGAAGGGCCGATGAGCGCTTGACGTTTAATAATCCCTGACCGGAGTGCGCAGTTGCATTTGCTTGTGCTAGAAACCACATGTGCAACGCCGAAACACCCGCTCATCAACCCCAGGAGGTTACTTCATGCGGCCACGAAATAGGAGTTTGGGATACTAGTTAGTACCTACGTTTGAGGTGTATTCTCCATTTAGTTGTGCAATTCTTGTGTGCGAAGTGTTCTGGTAGTTCGTCCGTCTTTATAAATGGCAGTCATCCCCACCAGATGGTTTTCGTTTCGGGGTTAATCACCAGGATTTGCGCGGATCCAGAGGTGACCCATAATTATTACTCTTCTTAGAATTACGTCATTTCCGTGTGCACCATCTTGCGGAGTGCATATCAATTGTACGACCTGCCTTTCTTTAGGATGCTGGTCGGACTAAAGTCATTGTCCGTGGCAAAACTGCGTACATACAGAAGACCACTATTTCACGACATCTCAAATTCTACGCTCTGCACGAAGAGCTCTTCGCATGTGTCCGTGGATCGTGTTTCCGGCTGTCTTTCCTAAGGGCTTTGGGATGTGAACATACCAAGCGATACGGTAAGTTACCGATGCAAATGTGTTCATAGTAGCCTGTCGTCATTTTTAATTACGGTCTCTCATCCCCAGCGGTGTTTTGCACGGCAGCGCTTGCAGCATCAATCTTTATCATTTCATGGAAGAGGAGGTTTCGAAGGCCAGACGAGCCACAGGATACATTACAATCTGGCATACCTGTATGGAAGGCGATTACGTCTGTTCTCGGCGGGCATTCGTGATAACGACACGCTGTCGTCATTTTCGTTCTGACAGGGACGTACTAAAGGAGTGGGTTTGACGTCATTGAAACCGTTCATCAGAGTTCTCCTATTAGGCCATCTCTCACGGGTTTTCTAGCTTTCCAATAGCTCTTTGCTTATTCGCAGACTTGTATCTGGCAAAGCGTTTTGTGACATGCTGATATTCGAACCGCGACTTTGGCTACGCGGAATATTCGTACTACTAATTTCACCTTCATTAGACATAGAAGTGGCTTTTGAAAGGGGAATAAATGACTGCTTAGTACCCGTTTGCGTGCCCTCTTGGGTACATTCTTCTCCTTGTCTTTCCAAGCATCCGGTTTTTCTTCTCTCATTAGCTCCAGCCATCAAACTTCTATTGGCTACTGCGTGCATGTGTGGAATCCTCACGAGTATCGCTGGTTTGCTGATCTGTTTTCTCAAAAGTGGCCAAATGAATCGCCGGGTTTTGAAAAAACTGCGCCGCCGGGCTTCTGGTGGGGCTTCCTCCGACGACGCCGCCACCGCTGCCTCGGCGACCATCAGGAAGGAAGACGGTTTCGCCGGCGACCGCACGCGTCCAAAACAGGTCTTTCCAACGGGCCTTCGTCTGCCGCTGCTGCGGCCACTCCACCAGTCGTCATTGCACGAGCGCATCGACCGGCTCACGGATCTGCGCTTTTTCGCCGCCAGACGCGTGCAGATCGGCAACCAGCTCTACATCGGTTGTCACTCTCGCGTCTACAGCGGCTCCATCTCCATGGTCCGCTTTGTCGATGATGCTTCTGCCCCCGATAATCGTGTGGTGCTGAAGACGCTGCCAGGTAAGGCTGCTGCAATGTGTCCTTCGATTTCAGTTTAAGACTAGTCAATCAAGAAGTGTTCCCGGTGAAGGAGAGGGTGACTGAACTCGCCAGTTATTGTTTTCTTATCGTCCTTAGTCAACAACGGCTCAGGTCTGGGTACATCCGCGTCAGCGGCCCTAACTTTAGGGGTCTAGACCAAGCAAGACCAAAACAGATCAGTGGGTGGTGTTTCCCTTTGATAGTAGACGCGAAGAGGCCCGTTCCAGGTAGTGGTCACTAGGGACCACGATCGCTGGAACATGAGTTTTATTAGCGTGACTTTTCGGATTCTCACTCGAATCCATCATCAGAGGCAGAGTAGGATAAGCGTAGTGAATTTTGAGGTGTCGCAGTATGTTTAGGATGTAGTTGCTAGTCTGTCACAGCTTGCAGCTCGCGAGTGCATCACGGCTCGGCTAACCAGGTGTTGAAGCATACGGTTGTTATAGTCTTGTGTGCCGGTCAAGACTATCGGCTCCCACGCTCATCGCACGCACTTGAGTTACTGACTTCCGGATTTCGTACTCCGTGTGCAGTCTTGGGCAATTTGGCAAGCCGACATTGACACCAGGAATAGTGGCCATCCGCACGCTGTACGCGTGGCTAGCTTCTTTGCCTAGGCAAAGTCTCAGCACTGAATATGGAGCGGGGAGATCGTTGAGCTTGATGATTGATTTAGCACTAGAAAATCATCACTCGAACAGTTCTCGGTTCACGAGGTTGTCGATTTTAGCAAGAACTTCTACTTCGTCAAACTTGAATGCGTGGTTGGGTACCGTCAAATGAGCCGCGACTTTGGAGCTGGCGTTATTCCTCCTCACTGATGGAGCGTGCTCGACATTCGTGTCCGGAGTATTCTTCCGGTTTCCCCGACATAGTCGCTTTGCCCACAACTGCACCAGAATTCGTAAACACTTCCAGATGTTCCTTTCCGTGTCAATGGGTCCTTCGGCCTCATGATCCGACGACACATGATTGCCTCCACTCTATTTACAACTTCGATTCCAAGGACTGTGAGGAGGCGACCGACGACTTCCGAGATACGTAAGGGAGAACTCGCCAAAATTTGGTGCCGGCTAGACCTCGTTTTTTCTCTCGTTTACGCAAGCACTGGTTGACCAAGTTGCGCTGGCAGCCATTCGCCCTGAGCATCCGTCGAAGGTAATGCAATTCAGTAACCTTGTCTTCCAGTTCACTGCAGTGTGTCTGCACGTGTTGATGTGGCGCTCTTATGCAACGGCATCTTTGGCTGATTGGATAGTTGCTGTTGTAGCTCAGTACTTCCGCCGTGTCTGTCGCTTTCCTGAATGTTTTGGTTTTTAGGCCATAACGATCTTTGCGGCAGACGTGGACATCAAGAAAGGCTAGCTGGATGTTTTCCAAGTCCCCCATCGTAAACTGAATGTACGGGAAGATGGCGGTCTAGCAATAAAATCCTGTAAAACTGCAACTCCTGGACACTTCACTACCCTTGTTTAACGCTGTCCCTGATTATTGATTCTAGTGAGAGTCCGAAACACCAGGCTAATCAAGTTCTTGTTCCGACGATCGTTTTTGCGTTTCCTTTTGACTTTAAGAAGCAGAAGGCGTTTCGGACAATGACCCATTAACACTACTTACGTACTATTTCAGATTCGTGATCTAACACATTATCAACGACAATGTGCTAATTACCCTGTTTCCAAAACACAGCTACCGCATGGATGCCCATACCAGACAGTCAAGTTTCATAGTCCACTATGATATGGCTGCGACAACTGACCATTGAAAGTAAAGTTTGTCGACTGCAATGGAAGGCCTTCGGGCAACTGCTAACTCGTTTGTCTTTACTGTAGATTATGGCTTTACTAGCTGGGCTGCGGAGTTTGCAGGTAGACATTTGCCAATTTTCTGGATCGGTGCGTAGCGGATACATTTTGAACGGAAGTAGGTTAGCTATCGAAGGGGAAGTGGATGAGGAGACAGTGCTGTTTCGATGTAATCCTCGGCCGGAATTTGCGACCTGGCACCAAAGCGGCAGGTGTAAGCACACACACAGTGCACATCGACAACAAGTGGGTCACCACTGTGAATCCGAGGGTGACGAGATTCCAGCAACTAACAACTTCCATGCCGGCCATCAAGCAATTAGCGCACCATCTGGCAACAATTCTTCATAAAGGAGAGAGCGATTAAGTACCATGGATATACGGTAGCAAATATTGCAACTATCTCTTATTATGGGTTCAAGCAAGAATCTAAGGAGTCAGGGGAATAAAGCTCTTGTTCCAGGGATCGTTTCTACGCCGTGTCAACTAGTTTCTGGAACTCACATTTTCGTTTGTAACGGCAACATGGACTGTGCCGACGCGGCACAGTCCATAAGAAAACATGAATATCTTAGCAGAACCTATTTACCACACTGTCGGAGCGGGCCACAGTAGGAAGAGACCCAGTGGCTAGTCTACCGACACAACAGACTAAAATGTCAGGCTCAGTATGTGGATGACACTTTTGTCGTTATCGATCGGGATCAGGTGCTGGCATTCAAAGAACAACTCAACGCCGTCTTCCCGGGCATTTAATTCACGATGGAGGAGGAGGAGGAAAACAACCAGCTACCCTTCCTGGATGTCCTTCTGTGCCAAAAAGATTGTATTGGCCTAAAAAAACAAAGTGCTCAGGAAAGCTACAAATACAACGCAAATACTGAACTACAATAGCAACCACCCGATGAGCCACAAAGGCAGTTGCGTAAGGGTGCTATACCGGCGCGTTGAGACGCACTGAAGTAAAATGGAAGAAATGGTTGCTGAATTACAATATCTTCGACGGGTAATGAGAGACAATGGTTACCCGCGCTACTTTGTCAACCAGTACATACGAAATGGACACCAAAGACCAAATTCAATCGGCCCCAAATTTTGGCGGGCTCTTCCGTACGTGAAGAACGTCTCGGAATCCGTCAGTCGTCTTCTCACTCCACTTGCAGTTGGGGTTGCACACAGACCGAAAGCAACAATTGGGCGCCAAGTCATGAGGCCAAAAGACCCGCTACCATGGCAGGAAACGTCTGGACTCGTTTACCGGATCTAATGTAGTTGCGGACAAAGCAACTATGTCGGAGAAACTGGGAGATTACTCCGTACGCGAATTGCCGAGCACTCGGCAGCAGTGAGGCGGGGAGACGCTAGCTCTCAGGTGGCGGTACACTCGACGGGACTCGGTCATATTTTCAAATTTCAAAAGGCCGAAATCCTCACAAGGGTTGACAGCCGTGTGAGCCGCGAGCTACTCGAGTCATAGTTCTCAGGCCCGCAATCCATCAGCAAGCACACTGACCTCCCGGCACCACATTCCGTACTGAAATTTTCCCTGGGCAGGGGAATCAGTCACGTGGGGAGGGCGCGGGCGAGCAACTATCACAGTGAGAGTGAGCCAATTTGCCGAGCAATCGTCACACCAGCATCAAGCGCAAATGACGAAATCCCGGCCATTAACGACTTGGACTCGGACTGACAAGCCACCACCTCATCGCTTACGACCCCGGCGGTGATTGCGAGAACTGTTAATTGCAGTGCGCATACGGTCCCAAGGCAGCCACGTGCTATAAATACTGCACGCCTTGTGCCACCAACTCAATCATGCCCCGATGGCAAGACAATGCCGAGACGAAATGTCGGACTAATGAATGACAGTCAAACAGTCCGTCCACAAGTGCCAAACTCGACCAGGTTTAAAGGAGGGGATACGATCGCTGGGACAGGAGCTTTATTAGTCTGACGTTTTGGACTCCTGCTCGAATCCATCATCAGGTTCTCGAAAAATACAGAGACGAATCGGATCTTACGTTCGTGAGGGTGCCATGGTGACCGTCCGGAAAAATAAGCCATTGAGTCTGACTCCCAGTCTTTCGGCCAGTCACGCCGCATACACACACTGCTGACCACGCGGACCGAGTTACCTACTTAGCTGGCCACCTTTTAGGCAAAGACTCTGCTTGTCACGATAATAGCCTGGGGGGGGGGAATGCACGATGACCTGATTGGATCCTGATAGAATACCAGATTTGTCCTAATCAGGTAGGATTTCCAGACTATTGCGCATCATAGGGCGACCGAATAAACAATGTCAGAGGCCGACGTAAAAAGGCAGTGTGTACTGAGGCAGTAGGTGTTGTGTGCTTTTAACTGTAATTTGACATCTTATGTTGTTTGCCTACTTTTGACGCGGTGTGTTGTAACTGGTTCGTGACGAAGCGGACCGTTGTTTGGATTTGGGGTTTTAGGGCTTGTTTTAAGGTTACGGTAAAGCTCAAATCTTCCTTAAATATTTACGGGTAAGATGTTTCCCATTAAAGGCATGGGTATGATTGCCGTTAGGTTTATAGCTAAGTAGGTCTCCCCAAGGGGCTGCATACCATCTTCTTGCCTAATTATATGTGTCTTGATTTTGGTCCCCTGTTCAGTATGTCCGCAGTCATTTTCTGTTATCTGCATTTGTTCACTTCGATAAGGACACTGAATGCTTTGAATAGGAGACAAATAACCCACTCCCCGGAAGACCGACTTGATGCATCGAGTAAATGGGTTTTATGACCCTTCACAATGCTCTTGTGCGGGTCTGGCATGTAGACGTGTCATGTCTCCCCCCCCTCCCCTCATCCGGCTTTTCGCCCATAGCTGCTTTCCCTTCCACCTGTTTATTGTTGTTTTAAGGCGCACCTGCTTCACCTACAATCTGGATCAGGTTCCCTTCAGGTCGTCCTGTTGAACCGTGTAGGCCACCACCAAAATATCGTTCGGATGCTGGGGATGGTGAAGCAGAGCAGTGAGTCATCGGGCTTTCCCTTCTTTCTTTTGCACCCTAATGTGTGGTGTACTGGTGTCGCCTGGCTTTCCTATTCCTGTCATAGCGCTTGACTAGTCCTGTATCGCCCTAATGGTGCGTTAGACATGACGAGGAGTGGTGATCTGCGCGCGATTTGGGCTATTGCGAGGAAGGGTTCGTGCAGTTTAGCTGTTCACCACATTGCTGGGAGCATTTCCACGTGCTTGGTATTCAGGTCAACTCGGGGGCGAGTATTTCCTCTTCAAAGGGCAACATCAACAATGGTGGCCAAATCCTCAGGCATGCCTCAGCACCGAGGTGCCCCCACCCGCACCGCAGAAAATAAACTCCCACAGATCTAAGCAGCTCCGTTCGAGGCAACTACGCTGGAACCTGAGCGCATTGGCGTTCGGCCCCTCCCCCATGTCAGGTCATCTTGAGACCAGACCTAGCCGTAAAATACTAGGATATTCGGCTACTTAGGACAAAATTAGGAAAAAGCCATTAGAAGCTTTCTCTGAGCCTCCTCTTAGGATGGACGTTCAGACTTCTTTGAAATTTGATCCCCTCTCCCTGTAGCAGAGGACCGTCTTGATAGTTGGAGGGCATGAGCACTTGTTTATTGGGGAATCGTAACCACTTATTGCGGAAGCACAGATCTCTTCATAATCAATCCCAGACAGAGGTTTTGCCTCTAGGACTCGAAGAACTGCCTTTGCTCGTCCTGGAATACGTCGACGGTCCTAACCTGCTGGATTACCTGCGTTTCAAGCTACCTTATGCCGGATCGTCTGTGTGAGGCAGCACCATATTTTACTTCATATTTTACTTCAGTGCGTCTCAACGCGCCGGTATAGCACCCTTACGCAACTGCCTTTGTGGCTCATCGGGTGGTTCCTATTGTAGTTCAGTATTTGCGTTGTATTTGTAGCTTTCCTGAGCACTTTGTTTTTTTAGGCCAATACAATCTTTTTGGCACAGAAGGACATCCAGGAAGGGTAGCTGGTTGTTTTCCTCCTCCTCCTCCATCGTGAATTAAATGCCCGGGAAGACGGCGTTGAGTTGTTCTTTGAATGCCAGCACCTGATCCCGATCGATAACGACAAAAGTGTCATCCACATACTGAGCCTGACATTTTAGTCTGTTGTGTCGGTAGACTAGCCACTGGGTCTCTTCCTACTGTGGCCCGCTCCGACAGTGTGGTAAATAGGTTCTGCTAAGATATTCATGTTTTCTTATGGACTGTGCCGCGTCGGCACAGTCCATGTTGCCGTTACAAACGAAAATGTGAGTTTCGGAAACTAGTTGACACGGCGTAGAAACGATCCCTGGAACAAGAGCTATATTCCCCTGACTCCTTAGATTCTTGCTTGAACCCATAATAAGAGATAGTTGCAATACGCAAAAATTTACCGTACTAACAACACAGGTATTAGCTAAAAGCCCAGACACGCGTGTTTCGCCGATCTTGTGACGCTGCCTGACGCAGCTGCGAGGGGTTCGGCTCGTCAGTGGGTTCCCCAGCTTTCCCTGTGTGTTTTCTGGTATATGAACTCCAGTTTCAACTTGCCTTGCTTAATTTCCGAGGAAATTAATGCGCGAACTTGGAGTAATTCTTTCGAAACAGGCCTTTTCAGGCAGGTCCGAAATTTGATATGAATATTTGAGCTGAAATCCATCAGCTACTGCGGAATAACCGCTTAATATTCACAAACCGCCAACAGGCAGCCAGTAGTATAGCATTGCGCAATAATTTACCGTACTAACAACACAGGTATTAGCTAAAAGCCCAGACACGCGTGTTTCGCCGATCTTGTGCTGGTTGCAATATTTGCTACCGTATATCCATGGTAATTAATCGCTCTTTCCTTTATGAAGAATTGTTGCCAGATGGTGCGCTAATTGCTTGATGGCCGGCATGGAAGTTGCTAGCTGCTGGAATCTCGTCACCCTCGGATTCACAGTGGTGACCCACTTATTGTCGATGTGCACTGTGTGTGTGCTTACACCTGCCGCTTTGGTGCCAGGTCGCAAATTCCGGCCGAGGATTACATCGAAACAGCACTGTCTCCTCATCCACTTCCCCTTCGATAGCTAACCTACTTCCGTTCAAAATGTATCCGCTACGCACCGATCCAGAAAATTGGCAAATGTCTACCTGCAAACTCCGCAGCCCAGCTAGTAAAGCCATAATCTACAGTAAAGACAAACGAGTTAGCAGTTGCCCGAAGGCCTTCCATTGCAGTCGACAAACTTTACTTTCAATGGTCAGTTGTCGCAGCCATATCATAGTGGACTATGAAACTTGACTGTCTGGTATGGGCATCCATGCGATAGCTGTGTTTTGGAAACAGTGTAATTAGCACATTGTCGTTGATAATGTGTTAGATCACGAATCTGAAATAGTACGTAAGTAGTGTTAATGGGTCATTGTCCGAAACGCCTTCTGCTTCTTAAAGTCAAAGGGAAACGCAAAAACGATCGTCGGAACAAGAACTTGATTAGCCTGGTGTTTCGGACTCTCACTGGAATCAATAATCAGGGACAGCGTTAGACAAGGGTAGTGAAGTGTCCAGGAGTTGCAGTTTTACAGGATTTTATTGCTAGACCGCCATCTTCCCGTACATTCAGTTTACGATGGGGGACTTGGAAAACATCCAGCTAGCCTTTCTTGATGTCCACGTCTGCCGCAAAGATCGTTATGGCCTAAAAACCAAAACATTCAGGAAAGCGACAGACACGGCGGAAGTACTGAGCTACAACAGCAACTATCCAATCAGCCAAAGATGCCGTTGCATAAGAGCGCCACATCAACACGTGCAGACACACTGCAGTGAACTGGAAGACAAGGTTACTGAATTACATTACCTTCGACGGATGCTCAGAGCGAATGGCTGCCAGCGCAACTTGGTCAACCAGTGCTTGCGTAAACGAGAGAAAAAACGAGGTCTAGCCGGCACCAAATTTTGGCGAGTTCTCCCTTACGTGTCTCGGAAGTCGTCAGTCGCCTCCTCACAGTCCTTGGAATCGAAGTTGTAAATAGAGTGGAGGCAATCATGTGTCGTCGGATCATGAGGCCGAAGGACCCATTGACACGGAAAGGAACATCTGGAAGTGTTTACGAATTCTGGTGCAGTTGTGGGCAAAGCGACTATGTCGGGGAAACCGGAAGAATACTCCGGACACGAATGTCGAGCAGGCTCCATCAGTGAGGAGGAATAACGCCAGCTCCAAAGTCGCGGCTCATTTGACGGTACCCAACCACGCATTCAAGTTTGACGAAGTAGAAGTTCTTGCTAAAGTCGACAACCTCGTGAACCGAGAACTGTTCGAGTGATGATTTTCTAGTGCTCAATCAATCATCAAGCTCAACGATCTCCCCGCTCCATATTCAGTGCTGAGACTTTGCCTAGGCAAAGAAGCTAGCCATGCGTACAGCGTGCGGATGGCCACTATTCCTGGTGTCAATGTCGGCTTGCCAAATTGCCCAAGACTGCACACGGAGTACGAAATCCGGAAGTCAGTAACTCAAGTGCGTGCGATGAGCGTGGGAGCCGATAGTCTTGACCGGCACACAAGACTATAACAACCGTATACTTCAACACCTGGTTAGCCGAGCCGTGATGCACTCGCGAGCTGCAAGCTGTGACAGACTAGCAACTACATCCTAAACATACTGCGACACCTCAAAATTCACTACGCTTATCCTACTCTGCCTCTGATGATGGATTCGAGTGAGAATCCGAAAAGTCACGCTAATAAAACTCATGTTCCAGCGATCGTGGTCCCTAGTGACCACTTCCTGGAACGGGCCTCTTCGCGTCTAGTATCAAAGGGAAACACCACCCACTGATCTGTTTTGGTCTTGCTTGGTCTAGACCCCTAAAGTTAGGGCCGCTGACGCGGATGTGCCCAGACCTGAGCCGTTGTTGACTAAGGACGATAAGAAAACAATAACTGGCGAGTTCAGTCACCCTCTCCTTCACCGGGAACACTTCTTGATTGACTAGTCTTCAACTGAAATCGAAGGACACATTGCAGCAGCCTTACCTGGCAGCGTCTTCAGCACCACACGATTATCGGGGGCAGAAGCATCATCGACAAAGCGGACCATGGAGATGGAGCCGCTGTAGACGCGAGAGTGACAACCGATGTAGAGCTGGTTGCCGATCTGCACGCGTCTGGCGGCGAAAAAGCGCAGATCCGTGAGCCGGTCGATGCGCTCGTGCAATGACGACTGGTGGAGTGGCCGCAGCAACGGCAGACGAAGGCCCGTTGGAAAGACCTGTTTTGGACGCGTGCGGTCGCCGGCGAAACCGTCTTCCTTCCTGATGGTCGCCGAGGCAGCGGTGGCGGCGTCGTCGGAGGAAGCCCCACCAGAAGCCCGGCGGCGCAGTTTTTTCAAAACCCGGTGATTCATTTGGCCACTTTTGAGAAAACAGATCAGCAAACCAGCGATACTCGTGAGGATTCCACACATGCACGCAGTAGCCAATAGAAGTTTGATGGCTGGAGCTAATGAGAGAAGAAAAACCGGATGCTTGGAAAGACAAGGAGAAGAATGTACCCAAGAGGGCACGCAAACGGGTACTAAGCAGTCATTTATTCCCCTGTCAAAAGCCACTTCTATGTCTAATGAAGGTGAAATTAGTAGTACGAATATTCCGCGTAGCCAAAGTCGCGGTTCGAATATCAGCATGTCACAAAACGCTTTGCCAGATACAGTGCTGGGAACGAATATTCCGCGTAGCCAAAGTCGCGGTTCGAATATCAGCATGTCACAAAACGCTTTGCCAGATACAGTGCTGCGAATAAGCAAAGAGCTATTGGAAAGCTAGAAAACCCGTGAGAGATGGCCTAATAGGAGAACTCTGATGAACGGTTTCAATGACGTCGAACCCACTCCTTTAGTACGTCCCTGTCAGAACGAAAATGACGACAGCGTGTCGTTATCACGAATGCCCGCCGAGAACAGACGTAATCGCCTTCCATTCAGGTATGCCAGATTGTAATGTATCCTGTGGCGCGTCTGGCCTTCGAAACCTCCTCTTCCATGAAATGATAAAGATTGATGCTGCCAGCGCTGCCGTGCAAAACACCGCTGGGGATGAGAGACCGTAATTAAAAATGACGACAGGCTACTATGAACACTTTTTCATCGGTAACTTACCGTATCGTTTGGTATGTTCACATCCCAAAGCCCTTAGGAAAGACAGCCGGAAACACGATCCACGGACACATGCGAAGAGCTCTTCGTGCAGAACGTAGAATTTGAGATGTCGTGAAATAGTGGTCTTCTGTATGTACGCAGTTTTGCCACGGACAATGACTTTAGTCCGACCAGCATCCTAAAGAAAGGCAGGTCGTACAATTGATATGCACTCGGCAAGATGGTGCACAAGGAAATGACGTAATTCTAAGTAGAGTAATAATTATGGGTCACCTCTGGATCCGCGCAAATCCTGGTGATTAACCCCGAAACGAAAACCATCTGGTGGGGATGACCGCCATTTATAAAGACGGACGAACTACCAGAACACTTCGCACACAAGAATTGCACAACCAAATGGATAATACACCTCAAACGTAGGTACTAACTAGTATCCCAAACTCCTATTTCGTGGCCGCATGAAGTAACCTCCTGGGGTTGATGAGCGGGTGTTTCGGCGTTGCACATGTGGTTTCTAGCACAAGCAAATGCAACTGCGCACTCCGGTCAGGGATTATTAAACGTCAAGCGCTCATCGGCCCTTCAAGCCAGAGAAACACGTCACAGCATGAGCAGGTGCATATTCAGTCCCGCAACCAGCCAATCAAATGACGGGCCAAGCCGTGACTCATGATCAACGCCACCGGGAACGCATCCACTGACGTCGGTCAGACAACGGCAGGCGTGCGGATATACCGTTCACCATGGAAGTTTCCGACCCAGGACGTGACGCAAGTGCACAAACCAGGTCCTCAGGAGACAATGGAGACTGGAATGGCCATTTCTGGCTTATTGGCCGTCGACAGCCAGTCATACCCAACTCCGAAGTGTGGAACACCCGAGGCGCGAACTCGCGACCTGTTAGTTACAAGTCCAACGCCCCTAACTACTGAGCCACAGGCTTGTTGTCTTGCCAGTTGTGATCGGAAATATACAGTGGTAGGGGAGCACTTGCTGATCGTTTCTTTGGATCTAACAGGTCGCGAGATCGTCCCGCAGGTGTTTCACACTCCGGGGTTGGGTATGACTGGTTGAGGATGGCCAATAAGTCAGAAATGGCCAATCCAGTCTCCCCCTTGTTTCTGTCGGTAATACCATTGGGCGGTTCAGTTTCGATGACCTTGACGGGCCAATTACCCTTATCCTACGTAGATATTGGTTCAAGTGGTCCCTGCAATGATGTTTTGTATTGCGCGCTGCTTACGCCGAGATTTTAGTGTTCACTAAAAACAAGCGTATTTACTACGTTTTTCTATAGTTTTCGCACATCCTTAATTGTTTTCCCGCAGTCCCATCCGTAAAGCCCCTTTTACCGCATTTACTATATTGCACGCGCCACCATTTCCCAGCAGAACCGCGTTTTGAGCTTCGCGGCGGACTCGACTGTGAGCATAGCTCAAGCGCACTCCTGGCTCCCAGACGCTGGGACACCTTGTATGAAAATGATTCCAATCATAGTGGCAATATCTCCACACAAAACACTGCTAATATTAAAAAGTATCTAGGCAGTTTCTGTTCCAGTTAAAATACTGCGTAAGGCGCTTCCCTAAACTATAAAATACGATATTGTCACCCTGCAGTACTCACTAAAGTGTAATCCAACATGTGTTCCAAGTGCTGTACGCGATTTTTTTTTCAAAGCGACACTCCGCGAACAGAATTTAAGTATACTTTAGGGTAAGTTGATACCATCCTAACAGCACAGGTACTAACCAAAAGCCCATACACGCGCGTTTCGCCGATATTCTGCCGCTGCATGGTGCAGTTGCGAGAGGTTCGGCTCGTCAGTGTGTCAGTGGGTTTTTGGCTAGTACCTGTGCTTTTAATATGGTATCACCTTGCCCTAATGTATACTACTAGCTGCCTGTCGGCAGTTAATTAATATTACGCGGTTATCCGCTGTGACTGATGGGCTTCGGCCCAAATATTCATGCAGAAAATTATCGGTCTGAACTTGTAGCCCTTGATTAAACTGATCCACTCAAAGTTCGTAGATAATTTCTGAGGAATTTAAAAAGCGACAAGTTAAGTACACGTTGTCATCGGCATGCAGCAATCAGAGTGTATTCTCGGAAGATGGCCATGGTTTTGGCTAACCCCAAGGGAAGAAATAACGTGTTTGAGAATAACGGGACCAAGGTGGCCTTCCAAGACCTTCTTGAAGCAACTACGAAGGACATGAGCATTGATAGCGGGGCGCCCACAGATCGTGTTACGGAACTCGCTCTATCGAGCCCCGCCAGCAGCCGCTCAGCGATGTGTAAGATAGTCAGAATATCATTACATAAAAGGACAAGAATGGTGGCTAATAAGCCAGAAGCGTCCACTTCAGTCTTTCTTGCTTTTTTCGGTAATGTAATTCTGACGTGGATAAATTGCGGAATGGTACTGTACTGCCGAAACTACAGACTATCACGCACCCCAAAACCGTCACGCGTACGAACCACTTGCTACTGCAACAGTTGACAATCAACTGGTCTCCCGGTATATTGAGGACGGCGCCTGTTTTCAAAGTAATGACAGTAGCGCTTCGAACTCAATTACCAACGACAGACCTCCTGCCCAAATGACCGGAAACGAACTCTCGTGTGACCTGGGGAAGGGTCAATCACAATCAAGTCCTCCCGTAGGCTCTAGCCGCTCCGCCATCATCGCACGTGTGCAGAATTTCGGCCTGGGTGCAGGTCCGTCTGGCGCGGTGTCGGGCACTGGGAGTACACATGCGCGAACCGCGGCCCTCTCACCAAGTGCTTGTCCACTAGTCAGGTCGTGGGGCCGCGTTAACCAGGCGACCGCGTTGCTGCGGCGTGGATCGCTAGTGGGGCGAGGGGAAGTCTTGCTCAATATGTGAAGTCATGGACACGTTGGAAGCGGTTGTGCGGCGGCGTTGCTTACTGGGCGAAGTTGTGCTTTGCGGGCTTCACGTTTCGCTTTGGCGGCAGCGATGCGGTTGGCTTCGTAGATCGCAGCGCCTGTCTTCACTGTCCTCCTCCAGGTCGGTCGATCGAGTGCGAGCTCCTCCCAGTTGGTGGGGTTGATTTGCAGGCGCTTCAGGGAGGACTTCAGGGTATCCTTGTAACGGCGAATCTGGCCTCCTTGACGACGAGAGCCCGTCGCGACGTCTCCGTAGAAGAGTCGTTTGGGTAGTCGCTCGTCGTCCATGCGCACCAGGTTGCCGCTCCAGCGTAGCTGCATTTGTCTCAGTATGGCGTAGATGCTGAGGATTCCCGTTCGTTCCAACACATCACTGTCGGGGATGCGATCCTGCCAGTTCAGCCTAAGGATGCGGCGAAGACAACTGAAGTGGAAGTGGTTCAGACGGTGTGCCTGCTTTGTGTACACCGTCCAAGTCTCCGCTCCATACAGTAGCGTCGGCAGGATGACGTCCTTGTACATCTTTAGCTTCGTGCCCAGTTGAAGACCGTGGCGATTCCAAACTGTGCTTTGGAGGCGACCGAAGGCTTGACTGGCTTTCGAGATCCTGTTGGCGACTTCGTCGTCGATTTTGGTGTTGCGGGAGAGAGTACTGCCCAGGTACGGTAAGTTCTCCCCCACTTGCAGTTTGGTTCCGTTCACACTGATTTGCGGCAGCGAGTTGGGGGCTGTGGCTGAGTTGGGTGACGGTTGATGCATCACCACCGTCTTCTGCGTGTTAATGACCAGACCGAAGTTCTCCCAGGCGGCGGAGAATAGGTCCGTGCTCCGTTGCATCTCCTCTTCCGAGGTGGTGTTTAAGACGCAGTGGTCGGCGAAGAGGAGTTCGTGAACGGTGGTTGTGGATACGCGCGATTGGAAGTGCATCCGCCGTTGATTCAGGAGGTGATCGTCTGTCCTGTAGGCGATGCGGATCCCGGGGCATCCATCAGGCGTCCATCAGCATGGTAGAGAATATAAGACTGAAGATGGTAGGCGCCAGATCGCAGCCCTGCTTCACTCCATTGGTCACTGCGAATGCCTCTGAGACAGCTCCGTTGTCCGTGACTCGCGCCATCATACCGTCATGCAGCTGACGCACCATCTGAGTGAATCGCTCCGGACAGCCGAATTTCTGCATGATCTTCAACAGTCCTTCACGAGTTACCGTGTCGAAGGCTTTCGTCAGGTCCACGAAGGTAGAGTAGAGGTGGGTCCGCATCGCCTGACACTTCTCCTGAAGTTGGCGGGCGGCGAAGATCATATCCGTGGTCCCACGATGACGACGGAACCCGCATTGGCTTTCCGGCAGAAGGCCCTGTCCCAGATGGTTATTGAGGCGGTTGAGAAGGATGCGAGCGAAGATCTTCCCGGCGATGCTCAGCAAGGAGGTGCCGCGGTGATTGTCGCAGACTTGGCGATTCCCTTTGCGCTTGTAGAGATGCACGATGGTTGCGTCTTTGAAATCTTGCGGGAATTTACCTTGACGCCACATCTCTTGGAAGAGCGCAGTCAGGTGATTCATCAGTTGGGGACCTCCGTGCTTGTAAACCTCAGCAGGGATTGCGTCCGATCCGGGTTCTTTCCCGCTGGAGAGCTGCTGCACGGCCCTGATCGTTTCCTGGAGAGAAGGCGGGAGGTCGAGGTCCACGTTGGTCTCCACTTGCGGCAAGCGGGCGATGGCGGCGTCGGAGATGACGGAGGGGCGGTTGAGGACGCCTCGGAAATGCTCGGCCCATCGCTGAAGGATTTGCGTCTTCTCAATCAGGAGAGTGCTACCGTCGGCGCTGAGGAGAGGAGCAGTGCCCTTCGTCGGCGGACCGTAGACAGCTTTGATCGCAGAGAAGATGTTCTTCCATTCATTGCGGTCCGCGTACCCTTGGATCTTCTCAGCTTTGCGAGCAGTCCAGGCGTCCTGCATCTCGCGCAGTCGTTGCTGAAGGTGGCGGCGACTGCGGTAAAAGGCAGCTCTGTTGTCGTCAGTGGGGTGGTCTACGTAGGCTTTGTGTAGGCGGTTCCTCTCAGCTAGCAGATTTCTGATGGCGGCTTCGTTGTCATCGAACCAGTCCTGGTGTTGGCGAGGAGCGCGACCGAGGACGGCGAGCTCCGTCGACTGGACGGTGTCTCGCAGTTGACACCAGCGGTTCTCCACGGAGGTTTTCTCGGCAGCGGCGGCGTCGTCAGCGGCGGCAGCGATTGGAAGGTTGTCTAGCCGTTGAGCTAGCTAATTCTGAAATGAAGATTGTGAGCGGTCAAAGACAACAAGGCAACATTCAGCATACCTAGGGGTCGCTTTCCTTGTGGTCTCCTGCGAGGCTGTAGGCGAATACGCATCTTCGAGATGACGAGGCGATGGTCGGTCCACCCGTCAGCGCCCGCGATCGCCTTTGTCACCAGCACGTCCCGCTGATCTCGCCTCCGGACAAGGACATAGTCCAGCAGGCGCCACTGGCGCGACCGAGGGTGCCTCCAGGTGGCCTCTTCTCGCTCCGGCAGACAGAAGAAGGTGTTCGTCAGGATGAGGCGGTGTTCTGCGCAGGTGCGTAGAAGCAGCAGGTCATTGTCGTTTGAGCCGCGGAGACCGTGGGGACCCAGCACTCCTTTCCAGGCTGTGGGGTCTGTGCCGACGCAGGCGTTGAAATCACCGAGGACAATCAACTTGTCCGCCTTCGGCACTGTCGCCAAGAGGGCATGCAGTTCCGCGTAGAATTTGCCTTTTGCGGCGACGTCGGGGCTGCTCATCGGCGGAGCGTAGGCGCTGATGATGGTGGCGAATTTGCTTCCAATCCGGAGAGACAGACGGAGGCTCATCAGGCGATCGTTGATGCTCTGTGGCAAACAGGGCAGTCGTCCCACGATGTCGTTCCGGATGGCGAAGGCGACGCCCGCGTCTCGTCGCTCTGCCTTCGGTCGACCACTCCAGAAGAAGGTGTAGCCGGCACCCACCTCCTCCAGTTGGCCTTGTTCGGAGAATCGGGTCTCGCTGAGTGCGGCGATGTCCACCTTGTATCGCGCCAATTATCGTGCCACTAGCGCCGTCCTCCGTTCCGGTCGGTTGCTCCTCGGATTATCTAAAAGGGAACGAACATTCCAGGCTGCCAGAGTGAGCGGACTCACCCTGCCAGTCTGGCGACAACGAGTGGGGCGACGGGAAAGGATGGAGAAGAAGATGGCAAAGGAGAAGAATAGGCAGAGGAAGAGAAAGAAGAGGTAGGATTAGGAGGTGAGCGAGTATTGTTGTTGTTGTTGTTATAGGTATTGTTGTTGTTTCG